CAGCGCAGCGACCTACGATCGATGAGGCAAGCTTCCAGTGTCCAAGTCATACGCGCGCGAACGCAGCGCGTGGATCTGACATCGCGATTTGAGCTAGTGGAAAAGGGAGCACAATGTTGACATGGACTGTACATTACAGAAGACACAGTACATCATAAGGAGACAAATCCTGTACGATATCTAGAGGGAGAACTGCTCACAAAGGAATAGAATATGATCACCTTCTACTTTCCAATAGGTCTTCCCATATTGGTTGAACAATGAAAGCAACAGTTCATAAGATAATAGCAAACTAGCAATCTAGACATTGAACTCATTTTCTGGGTTTTCAACTCCTATCATATTATCATTCTCAAATTCCCCTCAATAGACCTTATGCGTGCAGATAACAACTGCGCGTAGAAAATAGTCCAAGCCAAACTGTCAAGTTCTGCGCACCATGGCCATTATCTACACGCGAGTGGCAAGAACTGTGCATCATTCAAACAGACAGCTATGTAAGCGCTTTATATGAGACAAACAGAGAATAAGGTGCAATTACCGACCTCAGAACTGTCTGCAGCAGTGTCACCAAACGAATAAGCATCTTGCTCAACGCCCGCTGGTCGACTTGTTCCTTCGCTTGTTGTTCGAGATGAGCTTACGCTAGTTTGTCGAGCTGTAATACTCTAACTTTTGTACTGGAAAAAGAGACATTCAAATTACTCTAACATGGTGGCAGAGAAGGCGGTTCACTTGGAATCTCTCTCATTGGGGAGCTGCTTGGGATCGTTCTGGGAGGTTCACTTGAGATTATCCTAATTGGTTCAGTTGCAGGAGGTGCACCTGCGCCACTCGGTTGTTCCATTTCGCATATCTTAACAATTGAGAATGGCTACCGGTCTTACTTCTATAGGCAACTGAGTGGTGAAAGTGTAAATTCTCATGGTAATATGGTACTCACCCGTTCAACGATGCATTCTCTATCTTCCAAATCGTTTCCAACACAATGACAAGTTGGATCCAGGGTCGACGTGCCAGGTTTAGATCCAGGCCGTTCACAATAACGCCTTCGACTTTCTCTTCCAGCCTGTATACTCACAATCATAATTTAAATAGCTTGGGGGGTTTCTGAACTCACCCGGCACCTTCTACAACCACACCATTCACCCCATTCTGTCCAAGAACAGGTAGATGGCGTTGAGCACGGAACATTGCACTGTCGATTCTCTACGGCATTTCCCTCGCAGCAATTTGCACCTTCAAATGACTTCATAATTTGTAGAGTTCATCACGTGTACGGTTGATTAGAGGAACGTCATTTTAGGCTCGAAACTCTTTTGCAGGAACGCCGCTTGTGAAG